TATTTATGTGAAATTACACCACTAGTTTATTATAATTATTAATACAAAGATCGAACACTCAGAAAAAATTCCTTCGATCCGGCCGGAATCGAACCGACGTCTTCTAGCATACAGTGCCAGACCAACTAAGCCCCGGAACGAACCAGCGGACCTCACGAATTTTTCTACGTGCTTGAAAATAAATAATCAAACTAATTTCACAACCTTTCTAAAGGGTCTAGGGTTATAACTGGCGGCCTGGACACCCTGGAGACAATAGGTCGGAAGACCATGGAAGTCCTGCAGGATGGAGACCCTGGGTTGGAGAGAAAGAAACGCGCAATGATGGGCTTCTTTGACCCTGACAAACCCATTCTATCTCAGGTATGATGAAAATGAAACTTGTATTTACCTACTACATGTACGTTTTGAGAGTACCAAAGCTAAAAAAACGTTGTTGTAAAAGAAAATGTTATTTCCGCAAACATGTTCGGAAATGTTTGCATTACTATCAAAAAACGAACACAGAAAATTTGTTATTTACCATGCGATTTCATGTATTCATTACTGTCTGCTGCTCTAAACTTAGCTCCAAATCTATTTGTTGACAATATTTTTAAATCTTTCTATTATTTTATAACAATTGACTAACAATGAACTAACTTGCAAACAGGCTAAAGAAAAAACTCATACAGCCATCTGCCGCAGCCCAATGTTCGTAATTGCGAGAATTAAAAATATCTACCTGTACCGCCACAGAGTACTGCTTATTTAAATAAAGAAAAGGTGGTAAAACAACATTTTCTTTTAGCAATTGTCTTATACATGACAAATATTACTTTTAATATTAATCAATATTTTTTCTTTTTCTATTATACATCTTCCTCTCTTGAGTCTTATTATTTCCTCACATTGTTTGAGAAAAGCACTATATATGCCTCGGATTTAGCGGGGATTCCTTGACTCGTATTAATACAAAGCCACGCTGTCACTCGGTCTTGTTCCCGGCTTCTACAATAATGTACTATTACATTCCACTTACCACACCATGTCATTGGCTTTTTTTTTATAACATCAAGTGACGGGATAAACAAGTCGTGCGCGTGATGGTAAACCACACGCCTGTCCATAACAGTTACAGTGCCACTCAGAGGTTTAAATTGCAACGATCTGAGGTGCGCTACCACTGCGCCCGTCCCCATGTGCCTGTAATTTCACCAGCACCCTAACCCTTCAAAGCCGGAACACAGTAATGCTGATATTACTGATTGGCGGCAGAAATAGGTAAAATGGCAGTACTACCCTTTACTACTAATTAAAGGCTAATGTATTTTAATCTACATTGTATGTTCTATTAAAGCCTTGCCATTGGTTACTTTGAATTGCGTACCACAATTCTCGTGATATTAAAACCTTGTGATTTGTCAGTTTGAATTTAGTACCATATTTCACGTCATATTAAAACCTTGTGATTGGTCGTTTGAATTTCCTACTGCATTCTAAACGGTAATTGAGCGATAGTATTACTTTACTTATATGGTATCATTCCAGGTGCTTCGTGAAGCCAAGTCGAAAGCTGATGAAGAGGACAGAATAAAGGAAGAAAAACGAGAAGCCAAAGAAGTACACTATGAAAACCTCTTCGATGATTTTGAAGGTAAACTAGACATTACTTTTGCAAATGTTGTAATTAATTAATTATATTAAACTAAAATAATGGATTTGCAGTTAAAAAACATGGTTTACATAAACACAATGAAAATTCCGATTGGACTCGAACCAGCGTCTGTTGCCTCACCGTGACTACGTCAATAACACACATACTCATATTTATTTCCGAAGACTCCCTCACTCCCTTTTCAATTATAAAAAATATATTTTTAATAAGTTCTTAAAAATTCGCTACACTTAATTTTGACGCCAACCTTGTAGATATTTACTTCAAAATCAATAAAAATGAAACCAAATACTGTCGATCTTAACTTACTTAATTATACATTTATAAACAAGAATATATATATTGGTTTCATTCAGTATTTTTTGAAATTATCCAGTCGTGTTTTCTCAATTTGACATTTTTGAGTTACGACAGTATTCGGTTTCGTGTGCAATTATGACATGGGGTTTTATTATACCAGTGGTTCGACATATCACTCACTGTTTTTTGCAACTTAGATATTATTATTGTTACTGCAAAAGTACTTTTACATGAATTTCCAGGTCTAGTCCACCTGGAAGCACTGGAGATGCTGTCGAAGCAGGTCAGCATGAGGATAGAGGAACGAGTGCAATCAGCGTCGCCCAAACACAGGCAGGATATTAAGGAAACTCTACAGCAAGTGGCAGGTGAAAATTCAGATCCGCAGAATTTACATGGGACTTATTCTAATTGCGTTATTTATAATTTTTATTAGAATTAGGAAAAACGTAAGCTGTCTCCTTAGTTATCATAACTATGTCTTCAGACATGAGAATTGATAACAAACGACATTTATAAACGTGACGATAAATTTTTTATTGTTTTATAAAATTAAGTTTTCGTATGTTTGTAACTTCTGTTTGTTAAAGTTTTTAACCGACTTCAAAAAAGGAGGAAGTCCTCAATTCGACTGCATTCATTTTTGTATGTATATTACGCGATACCTCTATGACCTTTGTGAATTGATTTTTATGATTCTGTTTTTGTTTGAAAGAGGGTACCCCAGTAGTGATCCCATTTAAATTTGAAAAATATATTCCACCTCTAAGCGTGGTAAACTAGGGGAAATAGATGTAATTCCACCAATTTTTGAGATCGGTTTTCTTTAGTACTCTGTACTGAAATTATTTTATACTGCAATGCAATGTTCTCGCACACTCTCCGTTATATATCCTGTAGAGTACCGATAGGCAGGCAATTGTACTGCGATGTTCAAGGCTCTACAGCTTCACCTGTACTAATTCCTGGTCACCTACAAGGCTCTTGACACGCTGTCTTAAATAACACGGGTGTTCTAAATAATATGTAACGTTAAAATGTTATGTTACTTATATGTATGCTAATTTTTATATCGCGTAGATGACGACTGCACAACGGGCGAAAAATCTGCATGGGTTTATGCACATTGTTTTGTTTTGTTAATTGTAAATTTAAAAGTGAAATACAATAACCCATTGATACGTCCCGCTGCTTGGCACGGGTCTCCTCTCAGGCGAGGGTTTTTGAAATTCACCAGGAAGTTTTCGGTGAAGGAAAACATCGTGATGAAACCTGGACGTCGAAGAATGTTCACAACCTTCGGAAGACGTGTAATGACCCCTACCTGCATTGGGCCAGAGTGGCGGACTAGGGCCTAAAAGTGAAATAAATAAATTAAAAAAAACCGGCTGACGAAATATTTTCATGGATTTCTCATAGATGGCGCTACGGCAAAAAGTCGTTGAAAACCAAATACAAAGATCCGACAAACAAGCACATGGAAAAATTTGTGAGGTCCGCAGGTTCGCCCCGTGGCTTAGTTGGCATGGCGTCTGCCACGGTTTGCTAGAAGACGTCGGCTCGAATCCGGCCCGATCGAAGGAATTTGTTCTAAGTGTTCGATCTTTGTAATAATAATTATAACAAACTAGTCGAGTAATAATACAAAAATTAATTGAATGTCAATTCAATACAAATAAAAAAAAACAATTTTGACTTCTATATCATTTATTTTATTACTTCTTCAATGTCAATTGAGATAATCTTCAGAGCTGGTTTTAGAAGTGAATGACCGGTGTGCGTCGCGAGGAGGTTCCTTTCATGTACCATTTATAATTACTTACCATCTTTAGCTACATTTCCGTTTTTTTTATATAGAAGACCTGGCCCAACGGTTTATGCTATGGACGCTGGATGAGGAGGGCCCGGGTTCGATACCCGGTAGGACCAAATTGGGAAATGAACTTTTTTAAATTGGTTCTGGTCTGGGAGTTCTGCGAAGTGCCCCAGAGTAAATTCCGTTCCTCTGGTACAGGTAATATCCTAGTTTGAGGCCAGGCAATTGGTGTGATGCTTTGGCACATTATTATTTTAATTATATAATAATAGTTGTTATCTAAATCTATCTAATCGTAATGAAATATTTCCACCCGTCAGAGCTGTGCGAAATGCCTGATGAAGAAGACGAGGAAGAAACGATGGACTCGGACCAGCCTAAGCCTGAAGCGTTCCTGGAACGGCTGCAGAGAGCCACTAAAGATTTAGGTGTTAAACTACAGTTCCAGCCTTTAGTCAAGTAAGTTGTTTTTCTGTCTGTCCTGGAGTGCCTGGATGCCTCTATGCCGTCACTACGACATCATAGAGTTGAATACGCTAGTGACCGCGTGAATGAGTACTGCGATATTTCAGTTCTCCTAGTGACCGCTAGGGGCTTTGTAATTCTCCCCCAATAAGAGATGGGCAAGCACCTTGGTTTTAATCCGTCGCTTTTTTAACCGAGTTTAAAAAGCCCATTACCGCCCGAATTCGAGGGCAAAAACTATTTACATCTAAATATTAGTAAGTCGAGTTTTGTTTAAATGTAGTGATATTATTACAAAATGTTTATTGCTTGCTCACATATTTCGCCTTTATATTGAATCGCATTGAAATTAATCTATACAAAAACTCGTTATCGTATACACTTATACTATACTGCCTCCGTGGCCGAACGGTTACCATGCCGGACTGCCACGCAGTGGTCCTAGGTTCGATTCCCGATCGAGAGAAATATTTGTATGGCGTACATTTATTTCTCCCGTGAGTTTTGGGTGTAATTTGTGATTGTCTGTTTTGTATGTCCATGGCACCCGCGACACCGGGTCTCCCTAGTGCGGGCAATAAACTTGAATCGAAAAAAATTGTTATGTAATGTACATCCCTACTAGTAAATGAGAATTTGTAGTGGTGCATGTGACTGTAGTTTCTCTTCTGTTATTTATTAATTTTATGTTGCGGGAGAGTGGGAAAATTAACTGCATGAAAAGAATATTCAACACACGCAGCTATTTTGCGTGATTTAACCTCCACTGAGTTCGCGGAGTGAATTTACGTCCATTTTCATTACCATAGCCTTATTATACCATCGTTTTATGTTCTAGATTCAGCTTACTCGTATTTTTTAACGAATTGATTAATCTTTCAGACAATACACAGAAATCCTCGAATACATGGATGACGACTCAAACGATTTCACCGACAAAACGATGTACAAAAAGGCGATAGGCAGTCTAGCGCAAGCGACTGCATTATCCGTCGAGATATATCACAAAGCAGCTGAAATGTTACTGGTCAAACCGAGGCGATCCACAGCGGACGAGGCCGATGGACTTACACAGTGAGTATCGCAGGTAGTTCACTGTTGAACACGGGTCTTTTACGCCACTGGAAACTGCTCTAAGTTGACTGCTGAAAATCACATCGAACAGTTTGATACGACCAAATAATAAATTAACGACGTGTTGCCTATGCTTAGCTACAATAATATGACTCTAAAACACAATTGCACTTTGTACATTATATTTGTTAATACACTTATCACCACAGACCAATAAATACAGTAGAAGTGCTTAGTTTGTATGACACGTGTGCCAACAGGTCGCGGAGTTTTGCAAACTTGAGCTCGTTCTGCTATTTTCGCTTTATACGTCATGGTCGTGTAATTTATCACAAAATGCCTTATTTCTCTGCTTTGGAGTGCTGTAATGATTCACACTTGTAATATTGTCTATGGTGGTGTTCCATATTATCATTAAGTCTTGTTTTATTTAATTTTCTGATCATTTTTTGTTACAAGAAACGAAAGTGAACCATATACCGTTGCAATATGGTCGCTTCTTTTTTGGAGAACTAATTACCATCGCGAATTCGTCGTCGTTCCGCTATTAACAGTTAGATGGCAGCACATTGGTTCAAATTTCTTTATAAAATCAAAACGTAACTTGCAACAATAGGTATTACTAGTAGTTAAAGAGAAATGTCTCTATATAAAAATTATATCCAAAGTTGGATACTTTATACATAAATAGTTTGTTTTCGACTATGATTTTGGCATGTTCTCAGGATTTTATAATGATCAGATATAGCACATTCTTTAGACAATATCCTTAGCTGCTTTGTATATTTTTGTAAGACCGTTATTTAATAATAATTACCTAAACCATTATCTGTCAAAACAGTTTTTCACGCTTCTCCTGCACTGAGTCGCCTTAACATTATTTAATGTTATGTAAACGAGGGACACCTGTCATTAGCCTTGCCCATAGAATATATAACCAGAAATAGAGACGAAATGTCATTTAATTTGTTTGAAATCTATTCTGCCATATCATTACTGTGACAACTGCACTCCGATTGGCCAGCCCGAATTCGAAACAATTGACGGGTGTCGTCAATGGGTGTCGTCAACTATTTCACTTCAAATCGACCAGTTAACTTGAGCTTTGCTATAATGGACAAAAATTGCAAAATTACGTATTTAATTGCCGATGAAATTTGATTCCGTTTGTTTTGTAATTTAGATGTTTTGCTGTTTTTTCCCCACACCACCGAATGGAACAGCACGCCTATGTTAGAGATAGTATCTTTACTACAGTAAAAACAGAATATTTTTGGAATATACGGAGACGTACACACAAGTCAGTTGTTGGCGCTGTCTATATTTCAGTGCAAAGGAGAGTTGATATTTGTAAGTGATGTATCACTGATGAGTCTCTATTTCTGGCCTTACCCTTAATCTATATGCTATGTAAAATACCTTGTATAACGTATGTAACGTTAACGAGACCCGTGCCTACTAGTGAGAAGTATAAAATTGGATTGTATTGTAATTGCAGGTTAACTGTGGTGCTGACGAAGCATACGTCTGACGTAGCGACCGTGTTCACGCAAGAAATGGACAAGCGAGCTACGTACGAAAACGCCATAGAGTGCAAGAACTATATTACCAATATATTCTTAGAGGTATTCTACTTTATTATTATATACTTTGAGATGGAGTCACAGTCCAAAAATATAAACAAAGGTAATGCCATAACAAAAAAGATTTTAAGAATAGTGGGCTTGTGAAAAGGTGTAAAAATTAATGCAAGATGTTTTTTTATATTGTTCTTGAATTGTATGTATGTACAAACAAAATAATATCAAACCATATTTATTTTTTATTTAAAACGCTCTATTTGACAGTTGTTTGTTTACATTTTTAACCGACTTCAAAAAAGGAGTAGGTTTTCAATTCGGCTGTCAATGTTCTTTTGTTTTGTATGTGTGTTACGCGATAACTGCGGTATTTGAGAACCGATTTTCATGTTTTTTTTTTTTGTTGGAAAGGGGGTACTTCCATAGTGGTCCCATTTCATTTTGAAGAAAATCATTCATCCACCTCGAAGGGCGGCGTTCACGCATGAAGATTAATTTTCATAAATAGCGCCTAACATTAATTTAGGAGCAATTACTTTAATGGTTGATTTTGCTATTTCACCAATTCATGCGTTTTTCTCTCAATATACTTTGAGTAGTGAGAACCGATTTTTATTATCTCCAGTGTCAAGTCCTGTATAGTGGCGAACTAGGGGATATTTTAATACATTTAGCAAATAGTCGTAATTCCACGTACTTTTGAGGTCGGTTTTTTTAGTACTCTGTACTGAGTATTGAACTTCAATTTCATCTCATAGTTACTTTTTTATGACATCAAGGAACACGCATACCCATAACAGTGACAGAGCTTTCAATCGCAAAGATCTGAAAGGCACTGCCTCTGCGCCCGTTCCACGACGATCACTACATAAACTTAATAAGCCTCATATCCAAATTATTGATACAAAGATACACTTTGAGAATACTTAGAAAAAACTCCTTAAATCTGATTGGATTGCAACCAACGTCTTCCAGCAAACCGAGCCAGATGCGAACGAATTAGCGGACCTTACGAACTTTTCTATGTGCTCGTTACTGATCTTTGTTGCAGCGCCATCTGTGAGTAATCTTTTTGAATATGAAAAAATATATTATTTGTTTTTTTTCAGGCTGGCAACAGTGCTACATATATACAGAATGCGTTCCAATTGACACAGCCGATTGTACAGATAGGTGCGATTTAGATTTTTATTATGACTATAATGACGCACAGGGCAAGAGCACGTCATGCTTGACACTTAAGATTTAAATCCAACTCTATGCCGCGTACGATAAGAACGGTCCAAAGTAGAAAGTGTCAAGCTTGACGTGTTCTTGATTGTACATGTACATATTATATGAGTTGCAGTGGCGAGGCGTGAAAATTGTTAAAAAAAACACCTACCTTAAGAAAAAGTGGCGCCATGGCAACATTTAAACACAACTTACTAGCACACAAGATTTCAACACGTAAAATTTAGCACAAAATGTAGTATGTGATAATACGTTGGAAATTTTAGGCAAGCCGGTGATAATCGAGTTATATGGATGCCTCGCCACTGGTGAGTTGTATATTTAGCGTAGTACTAGATGTGGCTGACAAGTTAGTTGTCACCTTCGCTATCTTGCAGAATTGTAAAGAACTAATTTTTACTGCTTTGCCGTTTTTGGTTGAAAGGGCGCATGTGACATTTATTTAAAAAAATATTATGTATTCTGCCGCGATCAGTAAAAAATGGCGATCTGTCACTATTTTTACTTTTTCTGAGGTGGATAGGTATGAAGTTACAGCAAGAAAAAAGTAGATGTTTTTCTAATTTCAATGCTTTCAACGTTATTTTATCGGTTTTGAGTTTTGTCACAAACGCCCCTTCAACGACATGTCGACGTGAATATGTAACAAATCATTTGTCTTAAATACGACAAAACAACTGTTACGACGTTACGACAACTGGAACGTCACCACTCATTAACAACGATCATTGAAATCCAGAATCATTGATAAATCACTTTTCGAGTTAATTGGACTAAGATGTTATTAATGATTATTTTCACAACTTCAAACGGAAAAATAGTTTGTGATGAGATAAGTCGAAAATATAGAGTCGGTGAACTCTTCCAATCGAGAAAAATTTTTATGAATTATTAGTAGTTTTTGAACTCGATGCTTTGATATGTTATTTTCGGTTAAAATGTGTAATTGATGAATTTTTAGCCAATGTGTACTACTAATAATAGTAATTATATAGGTATATCCGGTTGCGTTCTATGGAAATTAAATAACGCTGTATAACTTACTTGTCAGCTAATGTGGTATTGTGCAAAAAGGTTCCTATTTGTTATATAGCCTTTATTATGCTAATGGAAAAGTTTTTTGGTATTCCTGTGCCCGGCAATGGGACTATACATATATAGACTAACTATTATATTCCAATCTCTGTATAAACTTTTTAGCAAAACACCGTGCTCATTTGTAGGATCGAGTATATAACCAGAAATAGATACGTAATGTCATTTAACTTTTTGAAAACTATTCTGCCAAATCATTACGGTGACAACTGCGCTCCGATTGGCCACCTCGAATTCGAAACAATTGACGGGTGTCGTCAATTGTTTCACTTCAAACGAACCAGTTTAACTTGAGCTTTACTATAATGGACGATAGTTGCAAAATTTCATATTTAATTGCCTATGACATGAGATTCCGTTTGTTTTGTAATTAAATGTTTTGCTGTTTTTCCCACACCACCGAATGGAACGGTCCCCATAGTTAGAGATATTATCTTTATTAGAAGAAATCAAAATATTTTTATTTCAGCTTTCTAATTTGTGATTTCAGTGCAAACGAGATTTGATATTTAAAAGTGATATAAGTCCCATTTCCCTGATGAGTTGCCAGGGATGGATGGCCCTTATTTCGTCTCTATTTCTGGTTATATACTTGATGGACGCATATGAGTCGGTACAATGCAGATGTGTTTAAACCGCTTTTTGCACAATAACCGTTCGTAGTAATATTAAGTGGAATATAATATCATAGATCTACCAAAACTGTAATATAATTGTAAGTTTTGTTGTACTCGTATAGTATATACGAAGCTTAAGAAAGAATATAGCTATAAGTATTTATAGCTATATTCTTTCTTTTGTATACAAATATTATTACTTAATGGCGGTCGCTAGTGATTGTAAGAAATTAAAACAAAGCCTAACAAGTTACACAATTTTATTTTCAAATACGAAACAAGTTGACGTTTGCAGTGATGCCATTTTTTGGAAAATTTTAAATATTCATGTTTTATCGATATCGATAGAATGGATAAAATGTAATTATGATTAGTAGATTTAGATGGCATTATCGCCTTTTTTACTTATTTTACGTCTTATTAAATTTAATTATATTTATAATGGCCAATATTCAGTTGATGTTCGATAGAAATGTCATTTGCAATCACTAGATGCTTATACGCTGGTAACTCTTGCGTATTGGGCTTTCGTTGTATTTTGACATGGAAAAAATAATATACCTATGCACCGTCGCCATCTTGCGGAAATTTTAAGAAATAACTAAGTTGATGTTAAAAGTCGACATTAGCGCCATTATTTCTATATTCAATAATAGAAGTCACTTGTATACCTAACTAATATGTCTTTTCCATGTTTTAGGTTACTTGCCGAAATATTAACGACTCTTTTGTAAATAACAAGGAAGAAAATCTTTAACTGTACTTTATGTTTTAAGTTGACAATAATTTATTATAATAAATGTTTATATCAAAAATTACTTTTTATTATACACATTTATAGAGCGAATGTGAATGGAGGCATGAGACAGGTAAATATCGGCGTACATAATAATATTTTAAATCAGTTTGGTGATATCCTTAAGCATGGGCATGTATTTAAATAATATTTTAAATTTGCAAAAGCAGCAGGCAAAAAAATCGAAACGGTCATTTCTTTTAATGACTGATCCTCTTTTCTCTGAGACAAAATAAATTAAATCAATGTATATTTTAATCTGTTCAGAGCTGTTGTTTGATTTAAATATAAATTAACTTTGATAGTTTCAGCCTCAAAACTAAGGGTCGTATTCCAAAACTCTACTCAATGCTCAAGTCTGTTCGCTTCTAACATTCGCCGGCCGCTGCCGCGGTACGCTCGCTTCACTCGCTCACGTCGAGCTGCTTTTTCATATACATCGAGTATATAACCAGAAACAGAGACGAAATGTTATTTAATTTGTTTGAAAACTATTCTGCCCTATCATTGCTGTGACAACTGCGCTCAAAACTGTGACAAAATTGCAAAATTACATATTTAATATTTAATTACCGATGAAATGTGATACCGTTTGTTTTGTAATTAGATGTTTTTCCCACACCACCGAATAGAACAGCACGGCATTGATAGAGATATTATCTTTATTACAATAAATACAGAATATTTTTTGGAGTATACGGAGACGTATACACAGGTCAGTTGTTGGCGCTTCTATATTTTGCTTATAAGTGATGTATCACTGGTGAGTTACCAAGGAATGTATGACCCTTATTTCGTCTTTATTTTTGGTTATATACTCGATGACTATGGTCTACTAGCCCTTTGTGAGCAGATTACCAAATTCTCAACTTAACTGTCACTTTGTTCTCGAGCTCACTGTGTCCGACCAGCTTCACCCGTGAAGACCTGCTAAAGGTAACAAGATAGGGGCATAAAGGTTGCTGTTTACTGGGCCAAAGAAATACTGGTTTGGTACTTTATAGGTTTTTCTTTATTGACTCGATAAGAAAAAGAAGAAGGCCAAAAAGGGGTTAAAAACCAAAACGAAGATCTGTAACAAACACTTGGACAAATTCGTGAGGTCTGCTGGTTCGTTCTTTGGCTTAGTTAGCATAGCGTCTGGCACGGTATGCTGGGAGACGTCGGTCCGAATCCAACCGGATTGAAGTTAATTTTTTCTAAGTGTTGTAAAAATAATTGAATATCATGATGGTGAAATATCCTGACATTCAATAAAACTTAAGATATACGAAATATGACCAATAATCATTCTCCTCGTAAATTAAATTTTTAATTGCTAACTGCTATTTGCCACGGAATTAAATTTCATCGGTAATTAAATATGTAATTTTGCAATTTTCGTCCATTATAGCAAAGCTCAAGTTAACTAGTCGATTTGAATTTTGAAGTGAAACAATTGACGACACCTGTCAATTGTTTCGAATTCGGGCTGGCCAATCGGAGCGCAGTTGTCACAGTAATGAAATGGCAGAATAGTTTTCAAACAAATTATGTTACATTTCGTCTATATTTTTTTCCATCCTCTAAGGGTTATACTCGATAACCATAGTCCATCACACTGCCTCAATGCGAATTGGGGTTGTTCACACATTTTCCAAGTCTTATGACCCTTATGATATTCTTCAAGATGTTTTAGTCCACCGTTCCTGAACATTCTCTAATGTATGCAATTTCATATATGCCGCCATAGAATTCGAGCCATCGACTTTCGATTGAGTAGCGACCCTTCTCCCACTGGACTGCCACCGCTGTTTTTTATTTAACATTAAGTGCACCATAATAACATTGAGTATAGTCATAAAGTAAACAAAAAAAACGTATTAATGAAACTTGTAACTAAACAAAAATTTTAAACAAGTAAAAATGGCCGGGTTGAAGGAATTTGTTCGATCTTTATATTAATAATTATAACAAACGAAAAATAGGTAAACAGGCAACCATAGACACTAATAATACAATTCCAGATCCTAAACTACAAGGTATAAATATAACATGACATACAATAGTTGCTTAAAGGTATACAAAACAAAAAGTTTTTGTGAAATCTCACTTTGATTCAAATAACTTTCAGCAACTGAAATTTATAGATGACAATTTTTCTTGAATCTATAAGTTTGGTTAGTTTAACCATTCAGGTTATTTTGACGCTTATAATTTTTAAACGTTTGAAATAAGATTTACTTTCTAACAACTTTGACAACTTTGTCATGTTTGGTCGACAGTACAACAAGGTTACAAATTCAATAACAGCCGAATGTAGGCTTTTGTCCGGACACCTGTTAGTAAAGAAAGGTTAGTATGGACATGACTACATACTATTATATTAATGTACGCGTCTTGTGTATCCTATCGTCATAATAATAAAATACATTACTATCATCAACTCATAAATGTATATCCCACTTCTGAGACCTGGTCATTAATGCTGGGATGTCATATCTTTGGTGTGTTAAATGTACCTTCTTTATCTCGTTTTGTTCTCACTGCCATAATGACCCGTGATTTAAAAATTAGAATATGAATTGTGTTTGGCGAAAAGATAGTAATAAAAAGTATATTTCTTACAGTCCCCACACGCAGACATTCAATTTCCATGCAAAAGTGTAACGTCTAATTCAAATAGAAGGCATTTTTTACTTTTTTTTATTTATTTACATTACCAATACAATTACAGATACATAGAACAGTATTTTATAAACTAAAGTAAGTTTTCCAAAACAACTGCTCGTTCACACATAGTGAAGCGTTAAAACATTTAAGTGAAGATTGATGATGCTTTTGTGTGAGTGGCGTGTTGTTACAGCGTGACTCAGTGAATGATTGCCTGTAATTGTGTTTTGTGATATCTAGTGTATGTCTCAGTCTGTGTTAGTTGCCAGCCAGGTGGAATCGAAGTACATTTCTGTTATAAATTAAAGTTCCAATGTCTAAGTATAAATCTAAGTTACGTGTTAAGTATAAACGTTAATATAAATTTTGGAGGTGCTAAGGAGGTGCAATGGCTCGGATATATCACCATAAGTTAACCAAGTGTTGTAGCCGGTATTTACGTATGTATCTCAGTTTTCTCATCCTCGACTTGTCTGACAGCCCTGTTGGTCTTCTTGTAGAGGTTGGTGTTCTTCATTTAATTCTTAACGTATTGGGAACTGTTTACGGTAACTCCATACGTGATGTTAATGTATGTGCACAAACAATTTTCCGCACATTTATGTTTCCTTGTTATAAAATGCACAAAAACAAATTTTTGACAAATTTAAATGGAATAAATTTAGGAATGCACGTCTTCGGACTTCAGGAGTTTTGTAGGAAATGATGACGGAACGAAGAATAGTAGAAGGAAAGGAATTCGAGAACGATTCAAAATTTTAATTGTAATTGGCCAGGAACCAGTAAAGAGGGTGATAAAAAGGTGGGATGACGCTGAAGGAGATCAGCATCGTCACACTGTTAACCTTATGTCTAAACTGAAGAAATTAATTTTGAATTACAGCAGCGTACTAATGTGCGAGAAATTTATGATCTCAAATAGTATACAAAGACTACACAACAGTTCAACCTAAAATAATTAAAAATTATTACTGTGACTAATCAATCGTTAGAACGCACTTGTATAGCTTGTGAGATAGTGCAAACATTTTCTTTTAAATTCTAGCAATCGGTACTATCAAAAAAAAGGTAAACAATATTTGTTTTAATGATACGAATATCGTATTAAGCAATTTTGAATTAATAATAACTAGTCCAGTATAAAAATTATTCCTCTGACTGCCAATACGACTGCGTTCTAATGACAGTC